CTTACAGGTGCCCCAAGTTTGGGCATTGAATACCTAGTTGTTGTAACTGGTATTATCCCATCTGTATCTCCACTGCACATACATTGAAAGTTTACAATTAGAATATCCCCCCGTGACATAATAATAACTAACAGAACTTTTAAGGGATTATTTGCTAGTGATAAATATATTTCCTTTCGGGGGTTCAATTAGAAAAGAAATTTTAGGAAGTATGCCCAATGTTGTATTAAGAACTGTTAGTAAAACGATTGTATATTACCTGTAGATCCAAACGCTAATGCCGCTAGCCATCAGCTTCTTTATGGTAGGTAACACTGTATCTGGCATGTCCTGCCAATCACCATTTAAGGTGTAGCTGTATAGAAATTGTGTATAGTTAATAGAGGAAATCTTTGGAAAATTAAAATGAACCTAGAAATCTAGTATTGTATGATAAAGTGTTACAAAAATGTTTCAGATGGAGAAGCACAGTACTTGCAATCTTCCCATGGTCCAGGAACTCCAGTGGTGTTAGCATGAAGAGCCTGCTGAACTTCAGGGGTGTTCAAATAGGCAAAGACATAATCATCTGAGCATGGATCAAATCCTGATTGATGCTTTGTGGAAAAAAAAAAGAATGTGAGGAATGGGATGCTGTTCTGCATAAGATAAAATAATTTATTTCTCAAAGAATTGAGTAATTAAGATAATACCAAGGGAGCATTTGAAGAGGAAGAGCACAATGGAGCATAAATGTCATAGATGAAGATGTTGCCTATGGCCTCGTCTGCTTGATCCGTGTATTTTTCACAGACATCTGAAATGGTGACCTCAGAAGAAAAATTGCAGTTGGAAATTATGCCTTCATGAATTTCGTCAGATATGAGAGCACTTGTCCAGAAATGGTCATAAGTGCCTGCCCACCTATCCGTATAGTCTATGTATGCATTCCCAATCTGAAAAATAATGCCCATGGTCATTTTATAATTCCTGATAGAAAAGATATATTAAATAACCAGGCTGCATATTGTATCAGGAAGCTTACAGCAATCCCTTTCAGGTTAATCACAGTTTGATTCGTGATTTTGTTGTTTTCAAGGATCAAATCAGCAAGCTGAGGCACGTAATGGCCGGCATAACTCTCTCCAGTTATGTAGAAGTCCCGAGTTTTGTAGTCTGGAAATCTTTCCAACCAGTTCACTAAGAAGGTATATGAATCTGCTGCAGTTTTTTTGTCCCCGATAATATAATCTGATGATGTATTGGAATACGAAAATCCGACACCGGCTGGAGATTCCAGGAAGAGGACATTTGCCACTGCATTTTCAGCAAAAAAGTTTCTGTCATTTGCCACCGAACTTTCAAAAGAACACTTTTCGAATACTAGATTTAGGGATGCAAGTACTCACCAGTGTTCCATGCATATTTGTTATACCATAGAGTTTTGCCATCAGGATTCACCCGAAAGGGTCCTTGTTCTGTCATTGCTCCACCCCCTATTGATGAGCAGCCAGGTCCTGCAGTTCCAAGGATATGCTTAAGATTGCTAAATAGAAACAAGTTAATCGAACCGAACTTGTGCAAGCCCTTTAGTTAATTTTGTTTGCATTCTCACTTTAAACTCACATTTTGGTGCCTAGATAACATAAATAACCATGTAAAATGTGGCTGGTAATAACGAGGAAAGGAGATGTGGCAACATGTAAAGCATGAACTATAATCGAAATCATCATAGACTTACCTCCATTTAGCCACAGCACTAGAGGTTTGCTAGAAGGGTCTTCAGACTCGGTAAAATAATAAAAGAGTGCTCTGCCTGCCTTGGCATCAACAGTTACATACCCTGAATACTGAGAGAAATTCACCTTTGGTTGTCCAGGCAAAGTTAAGATCTTATCAGCTTCCTTTAATCCTTCCTGAGGTGCTATATAAACTGGTGAATATTCAGTGACAACGTCATTCTCGGAAAGATAGTCGACTGATTTCTTTGAGCGTTTCACCTCAGTAAGTTTCCCAAGAGGACCATATTTTCCCCCGCCATAACATTGTACACAAGCTGTAAGGCACAAAAGAGAGAGTAATAAAACTAATGCACTACTCATTTTGGCAATGTGACAAAGGGCTCGAGTCTATTATTTCTTTTTTTCCTCTTATATATAAGCTTTCCAGCATTAAAACGACAGCATTTGCTGAAAGCATCGTATTTTGCTTCTTCTTCTTGGGTTTAAACCTCATTGATATTCACTTATGTCTTGTCACTTGTGGACACAAAGAAATTGACATTGTTCTTGAACAGGATCCATCGAACCATGGAATTATTTGGTTAAGACAAAAAGATGAATTAAGAGAAGATTAAACTTCATTAATGGGCTCACAGATCAGCCGGCTTTGCATTGTCTATCCCTCAAGCAACTCAAATAATTGATGTTTTTGTTTGTTACAATCGTTTCATTAACAAAGCCGATAGCATACTCTAAAACGGGAATATAAAATGAATCAAGTATATTTCTAGAAACATGAAGAGAAACAAACGAAACAGATTAGAATAATTTTCTTGTGCGCCACTTTGAATTAGTGAGAATACACACCAGATTGAATAATCAAATAAACAAAGAAAATTCATTAAAATACATATATAAAACCAAATTAAAGTTCAAATTTGATGCAATCCAAGGTCAACAAATTTGAACGATGAAAACTAACAGTTTCTTCATATTTTAATTTTGGCCACATGCTAAAATCCGCCCATATAAGTCAATTTAAGAAGTAAAACCCTCTAACCTAATCTAAAAATTGTCTTCTTTGCATTCATGAATCATGACAGGGAGTGGAATATTAGCTGCTGAAATTGTCAAATGAAATCAAGAATCAAATAATAAGTATTTGCCTTGCCCTGATTATGATATGGGTGTAAACTGGATCGAGTCATCCAGGTCCAATGGCCTGGGCAGGGTGGAACTTTGTATGAACCACGTTGTGTGTTGAGGCTCGCACTGATGATCTATGATGTGCTCCCATAAATTGGTTAAAATCGTGTTTTACTGAATGGCGTTTCTTTTATTATTGCACTTTTCTTCTGATGGTAACTCGTGGACTTCTGTTGGCCTTTGGACTTGTGGTTTTGTTGGTGCGTGATATATATACCACTTCAACAAATATTTTATTCATTTGGTCTTTGGCTTTTGGGCTGCTTAGTTCTTCTAGGTTCTTTTGAGAGTCTTTCTTGTAAACTAGGGTTTGAGATCTTCGTGTTCTTCATCTCTCGTGATAAACCTTGTAAATTGAGATCTACTAGTGTTTTAGCCTCTGTAATCTATTGTTGTCTGAGTGATAGCTATGAGAATAAAGGGTTTCTTGCAGTCATGTAGTGCACTAGGCTGTTGAAGGTTATCTTGTGTGATTCCTTCATTCTATCTGCAGTTTGGTGTTTAGAAATAAGTGCTTTTGTGCTTTTCTCTTGTATTTGAAGAACGATCTGTAATATTGTTGCCATTTTGGGCTTATTAGTGCAACTGAGCTGAAATCCATTTTTGGATGTTCAACGGGGGATGTAGGCGTTAGATCTGGTCGTCGAACCTCTGGGGCTTAGGCTGAAATAAATCTTGTGTTCAATCTTTTAATTTTCTGCAACTTTACTTTATGTTTGTGATTGATTCTTTTGGATCTTGTTTTAATATCGTGTGACTTGGGCCTTTACATTGTGATCGATTGCCTTTCTAGGTGGGACATTCCAAGCTTGAGCGCTCAAATTCGTGGCCGTCACGTGTCATAAGCCATAACCTGTGGCAGAGAATTATTTCTGTCCCGCCAAAAATATGAATTGTGCCGAGCCCGAGATCTATTTTACGCCTCTAATTTAGATAGCTAAAATTAATTGTAAACATCTAATATCGATAATAAGCTGATGGGCAAATAGAAGTTCAATGTATAAGCCTAATCGCACTGATATGTGGAAACTTTCCTCGAGAATGACGTCTTAATTGCACCATTTTTTCCACCAAAAATGGCCACAATTAAGTTCACCAAAAAATAATATTTGCAACAAATAATATTGCGAGTCAAGTCAACAAGTCATTGTCTAAGTGAGAAATAAGAACACTAGAACAATGTTTCATATCCAGGATAAATTCTTGAATTAATAGACTTAGTGATGCTGGAGCATACAAATTGATAAAGAACCATAAGAAGAAAGGGGATCAAAGGGAAGAATTAAGGCCAAGTGAAATAATTTTATCCATATAATTCAGGTGTGTCTATAAGCATTGCCCTAAATCCCTTTATATAGAGAATGACTTTAAAATTAAATAAACTTCTTATTTAAACAAACTTGAAAATAAAAGATGACATTGTCAAAATCAAACATTGGGGTTGAAATAATGTGAAAGCTTTGTTCAATTTCTCAACCTCGAGCGGTTCAAATTTTATTTTTACTAATCTATCTTGCAATTTCGTGGCTTCAACTTTTGATGTGATATATTTTCTAACTGTTTTCTCTTGAAGATTCTAAATCTGTCAAATCTGCTGAATCTGGTGTGGATGTTGAAAAGCCCTTCAAGAATCAAATTTGGTTTTTTCTTAGGGGACGTTTCACAAAGTAAATGTGTAATTGGAAAGTTGATAAAAGCTGTGGATCTTAATTAAAAGCAATTACTGACTTTGACCTTGACTTTTTATCAACTTTTTAAGCTTTCCCACGCAAGCAATTAATCTAATTAGGATAAGAGTGAAAATTGGGTCGAGTCATCCAGGTATGGAGGGAGATCATGACATGAATTGGCTAGCCTTTCTAGACTTCACAATTTGTTGAACCTAACAATCATTAATTCGAACATGTAGCATTCGAGTGTAGCAAATAAAATTAAAACAACGGATATTGAATACTTGATAACTTTATTCATTCACGAATTCAAACATTTTATTTGCCTTAATCTCGACCTTATTTAGCTCTGCCTGGAGGAAGCTTTCCTTCTAAGAAGGACGAGAAGAAGGTTAGTGCGCGCTCAGGCTGGTAACTCTGGACTAAATGTCCTGCTTCACGTACAGTCACAAATGTCACATTCTGTTATTCAACTACATAACCTCCAACCTTGAAAGTGATAAGACAAATCTTGTTAAGATCCTATATTTAGTAGGGATGGACAAGAATCGAACAGTGTTAAGAATTCTTTTAAAATAAGTAACTTCTTTTACTTAAAAGTAATAAAAAATAGAATTTCGAAACATGCGCCTTTCTTACCTCACCATGGAGTTTTTACTGGCACCCTGAGTTTTTTTAGTGAATACAGACAGGGGCGGAGGGGGGGTCCTGGGACCGGACCCACCCCACCCCCCAATTTTTTGACAAAATAATTTTTAAATTTTTTTTATTTACCATTTTGTCCTCGAGTAAAATTTCTAAACGGCTAAACCCTACAATTTCCCGATTATTCTCCTCCATTGCGCAATCAAATTATGTTAAGAATCGATTGCGCAATCGAATGAATGATAAATGGTTAAATGATAGCTTGCTTGTGTATATTGAGAATGATGTATTCGACAAGATTGATGATGATGTAGTTATACAACGTTATCAAAGTATGAGAA